GGCCACCAGACCTACCACCTCGGGAGTATCCACTAGATCCACCCCTCCCCGAGAAGCTGTCAGGTAATCATATCATTGCATAAGCTAGAATAAATAAACGCAGTTACTTCCTTCATGGCAAACAAGGAAACCAAAATTTTGCTCAAGAAATGCAAGGATTCTTTTACATATGGCAAAATACAGAGAAATGAGGTCCGCATTACTGTTGATGCTTGGGCTAATAAATAATTACTTGCTTAGTCATGGAAAACTATATAAATTACTATGCTAAGTTTGCTAACAAAAGTTAAGTATCCCTACTGACAGAGGATGATGTTAAGTAATCGTCTTATTGCGCATTAGAATACGTGACCAAAAAGTTTAGGCAGTCTATATTATATGGTACATGTGTTTTTGAAGTAAATGCTTCCAGACTTGGCAAATGATAGTATTCAACCTCTAACCTCTCACCTGATAGAACAGGTAGATACTCCCAAGCTATGTTTAACAAATGACTAATATGGAATCTCATACTTGTTACAGTACATGCATCACACCCTTAACATAGCATAAGGTAGATCACAACAAAATCCCAATGAGAACAGTAACCAACCACAGTAAAAAAAAAGGAAAAATAGCACACCACAAAACATAGCACACAGTTACAATATCGATTTCTAACAGCTGTAGCGTCCAGAAATAAGTATATGGGGTGATATTAATCTCAAATAGTAGATCCTGAACCTCAGCATGTGCTTAAAGGATGCAAGTGAATACCTTCTTGGAGCACCAATAGAATTTCCAAAGCCCAAATTTGAAACCTGAGGAACCTGAGGTGCAGGAGGGGTCACAATGTTTGTTCCCACTATCTCTATTTTCATTGGCTTCCCATCGAGTTGCACATTGTTGTATCTCTTCACAGCTGCAGCAGCATCAAGTCTCCTTGAAAAGACAACCTCTGCCGTTCCCTTGAAGAAAGAACATCTCCAACATTTAGGGGCAAATAACAATATTTTAATACTTCATAGTTAGAATCAAGCTTAATTTTTACCTTTGATCTTCCACTTCTGTCATAATGGATTGTGTAGCGTTTCAGATCCCCAACCTCTGCAAACAGTTCCTGCACGGATTTAAATATATATTAGAAGGAGAAATTGTACAGCATATTGATGCTCCTCTAGTGAACAAACAAGTAGAAAATGAGCTCAAATGTTGAACTAAACATAGAACATCTTGACTCAAATGTAGGACTAAACGTAGACTCAAATGTAGTACTAAATGTAGAACATATTGATCCACTGCTGAATGCGGCTTAACTACATAAACAATAAAATAGGTTTTTATGTATTGCCCCTCTAGAATTTTTGGAAAAGACGGTGTCATATCATTATGTTGCTGGCAAAGCCTGTACATTTTCTTTATCGACCATGACAGTGATTCAGCTAGATCAATGACTGGTCAATCCCATATTTATGTGGAACTTCAGCCTAGCTATAGTTGACTCTGTTTAGATGGAAAAAACGAAGATTATGCTATACTATGACCATATGCTTATAAGAAACATATGTAATGAAATAGATAATGAAGCAAAAAATTATGGTTGCGCAGTCAAAGACCGCATTTTGAAGGGAAAAGCCTTTACAGATTATGATTATGTCTATTTCAGTATAGACCAATTTATTAGCTGTCATGTAAGTGATGTGATTTGACATTATTCTAAAGACAATTCATTAACATATTGCGGAAATGGGGGTCCATAGAACTATAGTTCAAGATACCACGAATAATCTAACGAGATACATGTACTATCATATCTAAGGAGAACGCCTAAAAAGGGGTAATAAAAGAAAACTTCACAAAACAATGGAATATTATAAGAAGCATGGTCAACCTGTAATAGTATGATATTATACATACAAAATTTACCATAATATTTATGGAATATACTCTTACATAAGATGTGACAAAACAAGTACAACCCTAAACGTCAATATTGGAACTTTCCAACATATGTTCACGAAGAACTTCCATTCATATATTGCACTGATTTGTGGTACCTCCTAAAA